TTAGAATCCCATTTTAATGATTCTGAGCTTAATTCAGAGAAGTTAAGTGATCCCTGAACAAAGTCAATATTAGAATACAAATATGTGCCTACCACATGCAGGGCACAGGGTACTGGAGGTTCAGAGATTAACAGGAACAGTTCTTACCCTTAAGGATCAATCTAGACATAAGTGTGTATTCACATTCATCACTGGAGACATTCATTCCTTCCCTGTGACAGATATCCTGCCAGGCCACCCCTTCATTGTCTGGAGACCCTCTCCCAAATTTGCTTAGGGAGCTTGACCTCAACCCTACACTGCCAGGCTGTGCTCTGCTATCTCTGAGCTGGTACTACTCTAGCTTTGCTCTTCATTTTGGAAACAGATGCCAATGTATTGTGTTTTACTTTCTATTTCTAGAATTTCCACTTGGTAGTTCTTTGCTGATATTTCCTATTTTCAGTTCATTTCAATGAAATACTTTTCTTTTTTTCTTACACATGGTTGTAATACATTCTTCAAAATCCTTATCTGCTAATTCCAACATCTGGGTCAACTTGAGGTTGGTTTGCGCTCACTGTCTTTTTACTTAAGACTGGGTCACTTTTTTTTTTTTTGGAGACAGAGTCTCGCTCTGTTGCCCAGGCTGGAGTACAGTGGTGTGATGATAGCTCACTGTAGCCTCGATCTCCCAGGCTCAACCTGTCCTCCCACCTGGGCTTCCCAAAGTGCTGAGATTACAGGTGTGAGCCACCACGCCTGGCAGCCCTCTTTTTCTTTTATTTGACAAAAAGTTATATATAGTGTATAACATGTTTTGCAATATGCATAACTTGTGGAATGGCTAAATCAAACTTATAACACGTATTACCTCAAATACTTACCATTTTTTTGTGGAGAGACCACTTAAAGTCCACTCTCTTAGCAATTGTCAAGTATACAACACATTGTTATTAACTATAGTCACCATATTATACAAGAGATTTTTTTTAACTTACTCCTTTTAACAGAAATTTTGTACCCTTTGACCAATGTCTTCCCAGTATACCCTACCCACGCATCCAACCCCAGCCTCTAGTAACCACCATTCTCTTCTCTGCTTCTACGAGTTCAACTGTTTTCGATTCCACATATAAGTGAGATCATGCTATATTTGTCTTTCTGTGCCTGGCTTATTTCACTTAACATAACGCCCTCTCAGCTCATCCATGTTGTTGCAAATGACAGAATTTCCTCTTTTTTAAGGCTGAATAGTATTCCACTGTGTATATACACCATTTTTTTCATTCATTCATTCATTTATCAGTGGATACCTAGTTTGATTCCGTAACTGGGCTATTGTAAATAATTCTGCAATGAACATGAGATTGCAGCTAACTCTTTGACATCCTGGTCTTTTTTTTTTTTTTTTTTTTTTTGAGATGGGGTCTTGCTCTGTCAGCCAGGCTGGAGTACAGTGGCGCAATCTCAGCTTACTGCAACCTTCACCTCCTGGATTCAAGCAATTCTCCTGCCTCAGCCTCCTGAGGAGCTGGGATTACTGGCATGCACCACCACGCCTGGCTAATTTTTGTATTTTTAGTAGAGACGGGTTTCACCATGTTGGCCAGGCTGGTCTCAAACTCCTGACCTCAGGTGATCCACCCACCTCGGCCTCCCAAAGTGCTGGGATTACAGGCATGAGCCACTGTGCCCGGCCAACATCCTGATTTTATTTCCTTTGGATGTATGCCCAGTAGTGGAATTACTGTATCATACAGTAGTTCTATTTTTAGTTTTAGAGGAACCTTCATACTGTTTTTCATAATGGCTATGCCAATTTAAATTCCCACCATCAATATACAAGGGTTCCCTTTCCCCATATCCTCACCAACATTTGTTATCTGTCATCTTTTTGATAATAGCCATTCTAACAGGTATGAAGTGATAACTCATTCTGGTTTTAATGTTCATTTCCCTGATTAGTGATGTTGAGCATTTTTCATATACTTGCTGGCCCTTTGTATGTCTTCTTTTGAAAAATGTCTATTTAGGTCCTTTGCCTATTTTTAAATCAGGTGATTCATTATCTTGCTGTTGAGTTATAGGAGTTCCTTATGTATTTTGGCTATTGACCCTTTATCAGACATATGGTTTGCAAATATTTTCTTTCATTTCATACATTTTCTCTTCACTGTTGATTGTTTCTTTTGCTGTGCAGAAGTTTTTTAGTTTGATACAGTCCCAGTTGTCTACTCCTCCTTTTATTGCCTGTGCTTTTATGCTCATTACAAAAAATTATTGCCCAAAACTATATCAAGAAGCTTTTCCTCTATGTTTTCTTCTAGTTGTTTTACAGTTTCAGGTCTTATGTGTAAGCCATTAATCCATTTACATTGGTTGTTGTATATAGTGTGAGAGAAGGGGGACAAGAGGTCCAGAGTTTATCACTTTTGTGTGTAGGGTGGTTGGATCTGGTGATACGATTTGACTGTGTGTCCCCACCCAAATCTCATCTTGTAGCTCTCATAATTCCCATATGTTATAGGAGGGACACAGTAGGAAATGATTGAATCATGGGGACGGGTCTTTCGTATGTTGTTCTCATGATAGTAAATGGGTCTCTCAAGATCAGATGGTTTTAATAATGGGAGTTTCCCTGCACAAGCTCTCTCTTTGCCCACTGCCATCCAAGTAAGATGTGACTTGCTCCTCCTTACCTTCTGCTATGATTATGAGGCCTTCCCAGCCATGTGGAATTGTAAGTCCAGTAAACCATTTTCCTGTATAAATTACAGGAAAAAAGACTCTGGATTTTGTTATATTCCTTCAAAGAGTGTTGGTGTTTTTGCTTTAGCAGCCAATTAGTTTGGTTTTACTCAAACAGCAGACTCTTTCTCTCTTGAGCAGAAGCTTAAATATCACTTCAGTTCTTTTATCTTTAGCAGAGGTGCTTCTCATCTTTCCTACACATGCATAGTTCAAGGGTCAGCCAAACCCTAGGACAGAATTTATACTGAAATTTAGGACCCCCTGCTCCCTGACTTTTTCCTTTCCAGGATTCTCTCCTAACTTTCCAGTGACTGTGTTTGCCCTGAACTCTGTCCTCTGGTTCTGTAGGCCAAAAAGATATGGATTTTCTATCTGGGTTTTAGTCACCTTTTATGTTACGTAGGCACTGCTGTTATATAGGAAAAAGCAAACTATTTTCCCCAAACTGTTTTCTCTTACCCAGCACTTCACTCAATCCTTGTGACACCATATGTCTGGAGCTTGTTTCTCCACATACCAAGCAACCAATTCTCCTGCAGATTCTCCACTGGACTCCAGCTGGGTATCCTTGAATATAACTCAATTCTGACGCTATCTGCCTCTTAATATAACTCAATTCTGACACTATCTATCTATGTGGAGATAGAGTCAGATTCCACAGATTAAGGGCTCAGTTTCACAAGGCTGCCTTCCACTTCAGATGGCAGTCATAAGTGTGGGCCTCCAGACTTCTGACTACACTATACATTGGGAGTTCCTAAGGCCCCCTGCTCAGATTTGATTAATTTGCTAGCATGATTCATAGAACGTAGGGAACCACTTTACTTACCTTTATCCATTCATTATAAAGAAAATTACAGAGGATACAGATGAACAGCCACATGGTGGAGATGCATAGGGCAGGAATTGTGGGAAGGAGTACAGAGCTTCCATGCCCTCTCTTGGGCACCACCTTCCAGGAACCTCCATGTGTTCACCTATTTTTGGTTGATACTCCAAAAACCTTGGTTGGCCTGGCATGAGTGGCCAAGAACATCTGCTGCTCTGCTGACCTGCTGAGGAAAGAAGTGGAAGAATGACTGACATGATGGGTACCTTGTGACTATGTTAGGAGATAACCCCAGGGATTGTGGTTTGGACCCAGATATAGTGAGAGATTTCTACGTTCTCCTGTGTAAGCAAACTAAAGACTGTAGAGGAAAACTACTGTCATGGACAATGGCCATAGAATTGGGAGTCCTGAGTCCCATTATTAATTTGCCTCTAATGCCAAAACCTTTAAGAAATCCCCTCTGGTGGCACGTGCCTATAATCCCAGCTACTCAGGAGGCTGAGGCAGGAGAATTCCTTGAACCCGTGAGGCGGAGGTTGCAGTGAGCTGAGATCGCGTCACTGCACTCCAGCCTGGGCAACAGAGCGAGACTGTGTCTCAGGAAAAAAAAAAGAAAAAGAAATCCCCTCAGCTTTCTTTTTTTTTTATTTTTATTTATTTTTATTTTTTGAGACAGAGCCTCGCTCTGTCGCCCAGGCTAGAGTGCAGTGTTACAATCTCGGCTCACTGCAACCTCTGCTGCCCAGGTTCAAGCGATTCTTCTGCCTCACCCTCCCAAGTAGCTGGGATTACAGATGCATGCCACCGTGCCCGGCTAATTTTTGTATTTTTAGTAGAGACGGGGTTTCACCATCTTGGTCAGGCTAGTCTTGAACTCCTGACCTCGTGATCCACCCACCTCGGCCTCCCAAAGTGCTGGGATTACAGACGTGAGCCACTGTGCCCAGCCTAAATCCCCTCAACTTTCTACGTGGATTTTTCCATTGAAAAGGGACAGGTTTCATGGGATGGCTGCAGACTAAATGGAGAAAATGTGCACATGAAGGTATGCGGAGGAAAGAGAAGTCATAGAAGCTGGGAGTGACTTGTTTATATAGACAGTGGCTAGTGTGGAAATCACTGATTGATCCCTTCATGTCAAGTACTCAGCCTTTCCTGATGTCTTCAGGGTAGATCTCTGAAAACTTATCATTCACCTTTGTCCCTTTGAGGGACAGAGTTCAGTAAGTATTGCTCATATCAAGACAAATGTTGCACAGTATTTTGAGTTGGCTTATTCTGTAATAAAGTCTATTTGTGCATTATCTGCTCTTTACCGCCCATTCTCCTAGTAAGAAAACATAAACAAAAGTAAAATATGCTCTCTGCTTGTCGCTTTTGCCTTGTTGATGCATTCATTTTTTACATTTAAAATTTTTTTAATTTTATTTTTCAGCGTCAAAAGCAACAAATGCCACGTTAGATCCCCGGTCATTTCTTCTCAGGAATCCCAGTGATAAATATGAACCATTTTGGGAGGATGAGGAGAAAAATGAAAGTGGGTTAACTGAATACAGATTAGTCTCCATCAATAAAAGCAGTCCTCTTCAAAAACCACTTCCTGCGTTCATCTCAGAAGATGCCTCCGGATATCTGACCAGCTCCTGGCTGACACTCTTTGTCCCATCTGTGTACACCGGGGTGTTTGTAGTCAGCCTCCCGCTAAACATCATGGCCATCGTTGTGTTCATCCTGAAAATGAAGGTCAAGAAGCCGGCGGTGGTGTACATGCTGCACCTGGCCACGGCAGATGTGCTCTTTGTGTCTGTGCTCCCCTTTAAGATTAGCTATTACTTATCCGGCAGTGATTGGCAGTTTGGGTCTGAATTGTGTCGCTTTGTCACTGCAGCATTTTACTGTAACATGTACGCCTCTATCTTGCTCATGACAGTCATAAGCATTGACCGGTTTCTGGCTGTGGTGTATCCCATGCAGTCCCTCTCCTGGCGTACTCTGGGAAGGGCTTCCTTCACTTGTCTGGCCATTTGGGCTTTGGCCATTGCAGGGGTAGTGCCGCTGCTCCTCAAGGAGCAAACCATCCAGGTGCCCGGGCTCAACATCACCACCTGTCATGATGTGCTCAATGAAACCTTGCTCGAAGGCTACTATGCCTACTACTTCTCAGCCTTCTCTGCTGTCTTCTTTTTTGTGCCGCTGATCATTTCCACGGTCTGTTATGTGTCTATCATTCGATGTCTTAGCTCTTCCACCGTTGCCAACCGCAGCAAGAAGTCCCGGGCTTTGTTCCTGTCAGCTGCTGTTTTCTGCATCTTCATCATTTGCTTCGGACCCACAAACATCCTCCTGATTGCGCATTACTCATTCCTTTCTCACACTTCCACCACAGAGGCTGCCTACTTTGCCTACCTCCTCTGTGTCTGTGTCAGCAGCATAAGCTGCTGCATCGACCCCCTCATTTACTATTATGCTTCCTCTGAGTGCCAGAGGTACGTCTACAGTATCTTATGCTGCAAAGAAAGTTCTGATCCCAGCAGTTATAACAGCAGTGGGCAGTTGATGGCAAGTAAAATGGATACCTGCTCTAGTAACCTGAATAACAGCATATACAAAAAGCTGTTAACTTAGGAAAAGGGACTGCTGGGAGGTTAAAAAGAAAAGTTTATGAAAGTGAATAACTTGAGGATTCTATTAGTCCCCACCCAAACTGTATTGACTTCACCTCCTAAAACAACAGATGTACAACTTGCATGCCTGCTTTTTATGGGAGCCATCATGCATGTATTTTTGTCAGTTACCAGAAAGATAACAGGACGAGATGACTGTGTTATTCCAAGGGAATATTGCCAATGCTACAGTAATAACTGAATGTCACTTTTGGATATAGCTAGGTGACATATGCATATTTATATGTGTGTATATGTAGATGTATGCACACACGTATATTATTTGCAGTGCAGCATAGAATAGGCACTTTAAAACACTCTTTTCCCCCCGACTCCAGCAATTATGGAAATAATCTCTGATTCCCTGATTTAATATGCAAAGTCTAGGTTGGTAGAGTTTAACCCTGAACATTTGATGGTGTTCATCAACAGTGAGAGACTCCATAGTTTGGGCTTGTACCACTTTTGCAAATAAGTGTATTTTGAAGTTGTTTGACAGCAAGGTTTAAGTTATTAAGGGATAAGACTTACTACTATCTGTGTGTAGAAGTTCTAGTGTTTTCAGTTTTAAACATATCCAAGTTTGAATTCCTAAAATTATGGAAACAGATGAAAAGCCCCTATTTTGATATGGGTAGTATTTTTTACATTTTACACACTGTATACAGAAGCCAAAACTGAGCATAAGTCCTCTAGTGAATGTAGGCTGGCTTTCAGAGTAGCCTATTCCTGAGAGCTGCATGCGTCCGCCCCTGATGGAGGACTCCAAGCAGCAGACACATGCCAAGGCCATGTTAGACACAGATTGGCCAGAGACCTTCCTGCTGAACCTCACAGAAAGCAATGAGACTGGGGCCACCGCATTTGCTCCATCCTCCTAGGATTGGCTGCGAACTGATCATGTTTATGAGAAACTGGCAAAGCAGAATGTGATATCCTAGGAGGTAATGACCATGAAAGACTTCTCTACCCATCTTAAAAACAACGAAAGAAGGCATGGACTTCTGGATGCCCATCTGCTGGGTGTAAACACATCCAGTAGTTGTTCTGAAAGGTTAGTTCGGATTTGGAAGCACCCATTATGCACTGTGGGCACTCCAATAGGTGCTGGGCACACCGAGTGGAATAGGACCGAGACCTGCCCTCAAGAGCAAAGTAGATGACGCATAGGGTGTGACATATGCGTAATAAATATGTTTCACACAAACGATGCTATCAGCTAAAGAACTTTGAACATTTGGGTTAATAGTTCTTGTGGTTATAACTTAAGGTGAAAACATAATGCAGTACAGGACATATATTTTTTAAAATAAGTCTGATTCAATTGGGCACTATTTACAAATGTTTGCTTAATAGAGTGCTCAAATCAGGTTTTCTTTTAAGAATCAATCATGTCAGTCTACTTAGAAATAACAGAAGAAAATAGAATTGACATTGAAATCTAGGAAAATTATTCTATAATTTCCATTTACTTAAGACTTAATGAGATTTTAAAAGCATTTTTTAACCTCCTAAGTATCAAGTATAGAAAATCTTCATGGAATTTACAAAGTAACTTGGAAATTAGGCTGAAACATATCTCTTTTTTCTTATGAAAAAATGGTAGCATTTTAAACAAAATAGTTGCAAGGCAAATGTTTATCTATTTAAAAGAGCAAACTATTTCCAAATACCATAGAATAACTTACATAAAAGTAATATAACTGTATTGTAAGTAGAAGCTAGCACTGGTTTTATTAATTTAGTGTCTATATTCATTTTATCTAAATCAGTGGAGATTTACTGTCATTGTTTATTAGTCTGTATATATTAAAATATGCTATCATTACTGTACTTACAAAATAGTATGTCACTGTTTTTATGTTCACTCTTAAAAAACTAACCTATATTAATAAATGTGAACATCTGCTTGGTATCTCTTTGGAACAAATTAGTATTGTATCTTTGTCGTCCTGGCACACTTTAAGGGCTTAACTGAAGAGCATTTAATGAAGAGGTGATTTGCAAAGGTGTGGACAGGGTTAAGGGAACCAACAGGGAGTGGTGAAGCACCCCCATAGACTAGCAATCAGGGGAAGCTGTTACTGCCTCCAAGGCCCAGGTAGAGGAGGGAACACACTGAGGCCTCTCCCTCACCCTCTGATCTCTTGCGAGGCCTCCCCTTGATCCTAATCTTAACCCAATACCCAGAAGTGAAGTAGTCCATAAAGATCAGCTTCCTTAGCCATGGAGAATGGATCTGGAAGAACAAATGCAGGGAAAAAGAAAACAAATAGCACCATTTCTGCCAAAGACATTGAGTGATTAGCGCTCTCTCTCTTAATCCCTTCTTAGGAAAATTTAAGTTTATTGGGAATATATTCAAATTTCTGAGTTATAAACATCCTGGGTAGTGTCTGCAGTTCTTCCCTAGTGAGAGAGAAATTAAATGTCAGAGCAGAAAAGAAATCCATAAAAGGGCTGTGCTGTCTTCTCTGGCTGAATGACAGTCCTTTGCCATCTAGCACTCCCTCAAGCAGAACGGAGGAGGGGAAATTGAAAGCAAAATGACTAGTACTTCTCAGGGTTGAAAACCAAACAATTTTTGATAAATTATTTCTAGAGTATAGTCAATGAAAAAATTATTTCAACTAAACAAGGATTTTGTTAACATACAGAATTTTTATGAGTTAACACATAAGCTTTTTAAGTTTCTAAGGCCTGAACTCTTCACATGTATTTCAAGGAACAGATTGAGTTCAAAAAACCTTAAATTTTGCTAACACAACAATGTTTTTTTGTCCAGGCATGTTGGCTCACGCCTATAATGCCAACACTTTGGGAGACTGAGGCCGGAGGATCATTTCAGACCAGGAGGTTGAGACCAGCCTGAGCAACATAGTGAGACCCCATCTCAATTTAAAAATAAATAAATAATTAACCTGGCACGATGGCATGCCTGTGGTCCCAGCTACTCAGGAGGCTGAGGTGGGAGGATCATGTGAGCCCAAGAGGTTGAGGCTGCAGTGAGCCATCCACTGCAGTCCAGCCTGGGCAACAGAGTGAGATCATGCTTCAAAAAAAAAAAAAAAAAATACGTTTTTTCCAACAAGCCAAAAATAGCATTTTTAGGGAAATGGAATGTTTGGCTATTGAATATACACTTGGAAAATTTTAGGTTATACTTCTGAATTTAAGAAATTTAAAAAACTGTTTGCTGTTGGCATGTCTTTGAGGAAGTTGAGCTATGGAAGCAAGTGGAAAAGGTTAAGCAGCATTGATGACCAAGCTATTTAAGTTTCTGGCCCTGGACCATCCTCTAGTAGCTTATCTTCAGCCAGGTGCTGTCGTGAAAATTAAGGGGAAAAACAGGTCACCAATGGTAATTTCCTGGCATAATTAACATGTTATGTGGCTATGCCTTTCAAAATTACTAGACCAAATGTGTGTGAAGAGTAATTGACCACAGGATAAACCTAATTTGTGTTTTGTTAAGTGAGCTGCAATGTGAGAAGAGAGGAGAAATTCTCTAATGCAATTATTCTCAGAGTTCCTGAGACTCTTTCAGGAGATCTGCAAGGTCAAAACTCTCTTAAAATACCAAGATATTATTTGCCTTTTTTGGTCTGATGCTGTCACAAGTGGACAGATGAGTTTTCCAGAAGCTACACAACATGTGAAAATGCAACAGATTGAATGCAGAAGCAGAGATGAAAATCTGTCTCCTATTACACCAGTCATTAAAGAGATTGCAAAAATGTAAAACAATGCAACTCTCCTCCTTAAATTATTGTTTTGGAAAAAAATTATGAAAAAATAGTGTTTATTTTAACATGTAATGGGTTTATTGTCATTTTTAGCTGAAATAGATGTTTTCAAAAGTTCTCCATTTTAGTGTCTAATATGGAAAATATCAGTAGATAAAATCATTGGCAGCAGGATGCAGTAGCTCACACTGTAATACCAACACTTTGGGAGGCCAAGCCAGGCGGATAACAAGGCCAGGAGTTCGAGACCAGCCTGGGCCACAAGGGTAAACCCCATCTCTACTAAGAATAAAAAAATTAGCCGGGTGTGGTGGTGCACATCTGTAATCCCAGCTACTCTGGAGGCTGAGGCACTAGAATCACTTGAGCCTGGGAGGCAGGGGTTACAGTGAGTCAAGATCGCATCACTGCACTCCAGCCTGGATGACAGAGCAGAGCAAGACTCTGTCTCAGAAAAAGAGAAAAAAATCAGTGATGTGCTGCTAAACAGGATCAAACAAAAAGAAAATAAAGCCTGATCTGGCAAACTAGCATTTGCCAATTTTCATGGTGTGAATACTCCCTTCTTTTCCAGTTTCAAGCTCCCAACAGTTTAACAGTTGGCTTGACAAATTTCCTGAATATTGAATTCTTATGAGCAGGTACAAGTTGACTCCAGCACACCGATGGATGCAACTGACATAAACAAAGGCTCTTTGCTGGTCCTCAATAATTTTAAGTATATTAAGGTGTTCTGAGCAAAAGAAGTTTGAAAAGAAGTTTATCCAAGATTTCCCAACTTTATTGACTTGAAGAAAACAGAGAAACTGGTAATGATTATAAAAGCATAAAAGCAAATGGGTAGAGTTGGCTTACAGCTGCAGGTACCACTCGGGGTTTCTGGCTGTTTCAGAGCTGAGGGGTTCCAAGTCTTGAAGCTAGAAACTGATTCAATGGCCGGGCTCAGTGGCTCACACCTATTATCCTGGCACTTTGGGAGGCTAAGGCAGACGAATGGCTTGAGCCCAAGAGTTCAAGACCAGCCTAGGTAACATGGCAAAATCCCGTCTCTACAAAAAAAACCAAAAATTAGCCGGGCGTGATGGCTCATACCTGTAGTTCCAACTACTTGGGAGGCTGAGGTGGGAGGATGGCTTCAGCCTGGGAGGCAGGCTTCAGCCTGGGAGGCAGAGGTTGCAGTGAGCCAAGATGGCGCCACTACACACTTCAGCCTGGGTGACAGTGAGAACCTGTCTCAAAAAGAAAAGAAAAGAAAAGATACTGATTCAAGTCATCGGGTGTGGTGTGGTCCACAGATCAGGAAGCTCTGTGTGAGGTCTGAATATCAGCCAGCTGCTGCGTAAAGGAGAGAGGTGCTTGCTGAGCAAAGTTTCAGACCAGAAGACCAAGAGACAATTCAAAACAGCAGCAGATTCTACCCACGGTGGCATTCCTGTAAAGTGAAACTCAAGCTCCAAGTTTGTTGTCATGGGGACTGTTGATTGCATGCTAGTCTTACGGAAACACACGGAAGACCAGAGGTCAAATTCAGTAGCATCTCAGAATTCAGATAACACAGCATGTATGGTTTCAACCCAGCAGGCTATGTGTTTATCACTTCAGGAAATGACTCATAAGCAGTAAGGAGATGAGCTTTGAAAGCTGCATCTGGCCGGGGCACGGTGGCTCACCCCTGTAATCCCAGCGCTTTAGGAGGCCGAGGCGGGTGGATCACCTGAGGTCGGGAGTTTGAGACCAGCCTGGCCAACATGGTGAAACCCTGTCTCTACTAAAAATACAAAAATTAGCCAGGCGTGGTGACACACGCCTGTAATCCCAGCTACTTGGGATGCTGAGGCAGGATAATTGCTTGAACCCAGGAGGCAGAGGTTGCAGTGAGCCGAGATTGTGCCATTGTACTCCAGCCTGGATGACAAGAGCAAAACTCCATCTCAAAAAAAGAAAGAAAGAAAAGAAAGAAATCTGCATCTATAGTAGCTTGCATGGTGGCAGGGCCAGTCTGGCTGTTTTGCCTATCTTAATGACTATATCATCAGATCATTTTGGTGTGCTGCTGTGTGACCCATCCAGGAAAGTGAAAACACCACGAAGGGTGGGCTTTCCAATACTGAGATGCATTCGTGAGCAAAACCATAATCATTTGATATCTATTTTTGTTGTTTTGTTTCCAATCCTGAGATATCTAGTTGCTCTTGAAACTGACTGACACAATATTAAAAAAAAAAAAAAAAAGACAAATAATATATTCCCATCCTCCAGGAGCGAACTGGCTTTTGGATTTAATCCTAATACTTAATGTTTAGTTAGGAAGCATAAAATCTGAAGACCTCAGATGTAGAATTTTATCAGCTCTGCCTTATAACAAGTTTCAGAAACTAAATCAGTTGGCCAGGCGCAGTGGCTCACATCTGTAATCTTAGCTCTTTGGGAGGCCGAGGTGGGCGGATCACCCGAAGTCAGC